TAATGCTTTGAGGTTTTTTAGAAAATGTTCCTTCATGGGAAGCTATTGGATAAAAGTTGAATTCTGCAGGAAGGTAACCAAACCCGTCCTAAAAAAAATTGCAGCCATTCATTATTTATTGGATGAGCCCAGTTGCCACTAGAGGGCAGCAAATGGTTTGTATAGGTGTAGTGACAGCTTTGGCTCAGAGCACAGGCCAGGACATCACAGAGGGGGAGAAGAAAAAGATGTGTGGGACAGATCTTTACCTTTATGTGTACATCTTTTGATGGAGAGATCTGTGGCTTTTTAGTGATAATGAGGTTATTAAAGACAAAGAAAATAGGAAGGTCTAAAGTTATAAGAGTAGATTCACAGCAGAGTTGACGGCTTGTCTGCTGTAGACATCTTAAGTCCTTAGCATAAAATTAGACTTTCTTAGACTTCTTGACTCTACAGGAGGCCGAGAGCTGGGAACCTGCACTTTCAGCAAGGTGGAATGCCTTCATGTTTGAAAACCACTACCCTTACTGAGACCAGAAATGGGTATGTTTGCTTGTTTACTTTTTAGTTTATAACTTATATACAACTATGGCTGTTCTAATTACTGAGTTTATTATAAAACATTCATAAACATAAAAATTAAAAACACAAACATCAAATTAAAGTTGACATATGAACTTTCCATGACTCATCTGGGAGACAGTGGAAAGAACAGATATTAATTAATGCTATCTAAGTGACCCTCTATTCTTGTGGTGTCATGATTTTGTTTTCCCAGCAGGCAGTAGGAGGCAGCGTTAGTGTCTGTAGAGGTTTTTTTGTTTTGTTTTGTTTTTTTGTTTTCCCCTTCAACAACATTGTCAGGAATTCTCTCTTCCTCTCCTTCTCTGTTTATCTGCCATCTCACAATATTAACTTTTACAAAGATTTACTTTTGTTTACTTTATGTGTATGGGTGTTTTGCCTATATGTATGTCTATGCACTAAGTACATGCCTGGTGCCCTTGCAGGCCAGCAGAGGGCACTGGATCTCCTGGTACTGGAATTGCAAATGGTTATGAACCACCATGAGGGTGCTGAGAATTGAATCAAGGTTGTCTGGAAGAGTGGTCAGTGCTCTTAACCTCTCCCGTCCCCCACTATTAACATTTGATGCTTGGAAATGTCGTATTTACTGCATATGATCTTAAATGCCCCCAAAGGCCCACATATTAAGGGCTTTCTTTTTTTCCTAAGCAGGACAATTTAGTTCCATTAATATAACAGTGATAACACATCCTTTGGTGACCACTTACTCCCTGCCCAGTGTACAAAAGAGGTGCACACACTGATGAGATAAAGTCTCTGAGCTCAAGGAGTCCTCAGTCTGGAGGAAAGGGAGGAGAATATAAGAGTTCTGGGGTCACCAAATCCTCTAACCAGATTTCAAAGGAAAGGGTAGAAGGCCAGGACATATGTGATAGGATTGGGGCCCCTGCAGGCAATGTACAAACTATGAGAGTATAACAAAGATATTGTGGGAAGAAGCCAGGAATATGGAATTTCTGCTGAAGAAGGCTGCAGGCAGCGGCCCCAGCCAACTTGAACATGTGGTCCCCAGTTGATTGAACCGTTTGGGAAGGATTAGGAGGAGTGTTGTTGTTGATTTCACTGAGGATGGGCTTTGAGTTTTCAAAAGCCACACCATCCCCAGTATCTCTCTCTCTGTTTCCTACTTGCAGATAAGGATATAAATCTCAGTTACTGTTCCAGTGCTATGTCTGCCTGCCTGTTGCCAGGCTCTCCACCATGATGGTAATAGACTCCAACCCTCTGCAATTGTGAGCCCAAATTAAATGTTTTCTAAAGTTGTGTTGGTCATGGTTTTTTGGTCAGGGAAATATAAAAATAAGACAGTCTCTACTTGAATACTAAATGTAGAGAACTCAGGCACTCAAATAAGCAACACAAAGTTGGCTACTATGGGAAGAGAAGTTTCTGGAGTCTGAACACCTCCCCCCCCCACAAAGAGCCAGAGGGAGAGAGAAGGAGGGAGGTAGGAAGGGAGAAAGGCAGGAAGAAAGGGAAGGAGGAAGGGAGGGAGAGAGGTGGGACAGAAATATGTACAAATATGTGGAGAAGTGTAAACAGACATTTCCTATCAAGACCACCCAGTCCCAAATAACCAACTCAGAGGCTGAAAATGAATTACAAATGCTCAGTTGATAGCTCAGGCTTATTACTAACTAGCTCTTACATTTTTAATTTAACCCATATTCCTTATTTATGCTCTGCCACTTGCCACTTAGCATGGCATGTTCATCTCCTGCTCCCTCTTTGTCTGGCTGGTGACTCTCTGACTCTGCCTTTCCTCTTCTCAGAATTCTCCTAGTCTGGCTCTCGAGCTCAATCTCTTCCTGCCCAGCTATCAGCCAATCAGCTTTTTACTAGCAAATGAGAGTAATACATATCCATAGTGTAGAAAAGGATTGTTCCACAGTAGAGAGGGATCTCTCTAGGGACAACTCCTCTCATCATCTTCTAGCTCCTCCTTCTAAGACCTCTTATCTGAGATACACTATTTCCCCTTATCTTGTAGAAACAGGATTTGAAGCATGTCCTTGATGAGGACTTGTCAAATATTTGTTTCAGTTCTTCACGTGTAAAATAATGGAGACCAGATGTAATGATGACTATATAAGCCCATTTTCTTCTAAGACAGGGAGTTATTGGAAGTCCTACATAATTGGTCCTCAGATGTCCATTCCCATTTCCCTATCAAAGAACTCAAGGAGGTGAATTTGCTATAATGGGCAGGCATTGTCCTGAGCACTGTCATCAGGCCATGCTGATGCTCATGTGCTTCAAGCAGGTGGAGCTCCTGGGAGCGTTGATTTGGCCTGACTACACTTTATCCTGGTTGACAGGCTATCACCTAAGACGATGATGGCACAGCATGGTTGGTCCCAGCATCGCCTGAATGTTCAGGCTGAATAGTGTTTGGAAACGTAATTATAGAGCATTTCCTGGGTAAATTTGATAATCAGCCACATTTAAGAACCAATGGTCTGCGCCGGGCGGTGGTGGCGCACGCCTTTAATCCCAGCACTCGGGAGGCAGAGCCAGGCGGATCGTTGTGAGTTCCAGGCCAGCCTGGTCTCCAAAGCGAGTTCCAGGAAAGGCGCAAAGCTACACAGAGAAACCCTGTCTCGAAAAACCAAAAAAAAAAAAAAAAAAAAAAAAAAAAAAAAAAAAAAAAAAGAACCAATGGTCTAAAGTGAATTGAAGTGTGTGTGTGCGTGTGTGTGTGTGTGTGTGTGTGTGTGTGTGTGTGTGTGTGTGTGTGTTAAACTCTCTTAGAAGATCCCACGGACCCATGTGCCTGGCCAAATGGGCCATATTCCTGCTACCATCTGAATTTCAGGTCTCAGATATGATCACTTTCCTCACAGAATTTACCGTAATACTATAATAAGGGCAAAGATAACGTGTGGCACTCTGCATCTTCATGACCTTTTGGGTGGCCAGCATACAATAGATGGTGTACTGGTTGGTTTCGTGTCAAGCTAGACATTTGACACAAGCTAGAGTCATCAGAGGAAGGAGCCTCAGCTGAGGCAATGCCTTCATGATGTCCAGCTGTAAGGCATTTTTCCCAATTAGTGATCAGTTAGGGGAGGGCCCTGCCCATTGTGGATGGTGGCATCCTTGGGCTGGCGGTCCTGGGTTCTATAAGAAAGCAGGTTGAGCAAGCCAGGTGAAGCAAGCCAGTAAGCATCACCCCTCCACGACCTCTGCATCAGCTCCTGCCTCCAGGATCTTCCTGTGTTTGAGTTCCTGTCCTGACTTCTTTCAACAATGAACAGGCATATGGAAGTATAAGCCAAATAAAGCTTTTCCTCCCCAGCTTGCTTTTTTGGTCATAGTGTTTCATCACGGCAATGGAAGCCCTAACTAAGACAGATGGTGAGTATGAGAACTGAGTTTTGAGTGTGCCTAACCCACACAGAAGCTTACCTGATTAGTGGGTGTGGAAGTGAGACTGGATGCTAATTCCCTCGAGTTCCTCTGTGTTGTTCACAAGTTACATTGACAGTATTGCAAGCCTTTGTTTCATTCTTGATGACTTCAGAGTACCCCGGATGAATGTATTTCAACACTCTTTTTACAGATGGGGAAACTGAGACTTACAGATTCACTTTCAGGACCCTCTAAGCTGATGTGTTGTAGAGGTGAAATTAGAAACCAAATGAATTTGATTTTACATTAGTGCCTGACTAATAAAACCAAAATTAACCTATTATCACCACAGCACATGGAATTAGCATGACCTCTTAAGTTAATCTTGCCCAATAGGCTGAAAAATTATTATCCAAATTAGCTTCTTAGGACATTTTAACACTTGCTCAAACAGCATAGTTGACCAGGGATGGTGGGCTATGCTTGTAATGCCCACACTGAGAAGGTAGTTGTGGGAAGACCATGGTTTTTATAGCAGCTTAGATTACACAACAAGTCTTGAAAAGCCAAAAGATGAAGAGGTCATGGAGGGGTGCTGCTTACTGGCTTGATTCACATGTTGCTCAGCCTGCTGCCTTATAGAACCCAGGACCACCAGTCCAAGGATGTCACCACCCACCACAGGCTGGGCCCTCCCCCACTGATTACTAATTGAGAAAATGCCTTACAGCTGGACATCATAAAAAAAGACTCATAAAAAAAAGCTGAAAAAGTAAAACAACAAGCAAAAAAGCAGAGAAAGAATGCTTTTATAAAAAGAAAAGGGACAAGCAGGTATGACTCATTCTCTCTAATACACACAATGTTTATTATTTTAATTCTGAATTTAATTAATTTAATTTAATATACATGTAGGAACCCTGGCTAATGATGACAGGCTCATAAAACTAGTCACAAATAGCCCAGACAAGTTGGCCCTAAAAGGCTGCACATCAAAATTATATATCATACAGCAATCATTCCCTGTCCACACATCCTGAAAAACTGGTTTTCACTTTAATGTTTTTCTCTTTGAGTCAGGCAAATCTTCCTAAAATATGAACATCTTTATATACAAAGAAGCCGTGTGGGAGGACAGAGGACTTCATCTTGCTTACGTTTTCTTTTTAGAGGAAATCATGAAAAATCTGCCTTGAACTTGTTCTGGAATTCTAAAAGGGAGCTAATTTGTAAAGTTACCCAATTATTTCTTTATTTGAAAAAAGAAAATAGTAATGCTCATGGGCAAGTCTGGGGCGTGTCCTGGGGGCGTGTCTTCCCACGGGAAGTGCTGTAAAGTTGGAGCAGCTCCTCAGAACCAGTTAGACTGGTCCATCACCCTAGAGGGTAGGAAAAGAAAATTAATTAATTAAGATGCCTTTTTTCCCCCCAACTGTCTCCCTGCTCTAACCCTCCCCTAACTCTTCTTCCTTTTGACTTCTCTTGTCCATTAGTGGGTTTCCTACTGAATGCTTTCTACAGTTTGCTGACTTAAGTTTCAGACTTTAATCTGTGGCTTGTTTTCAGTTATAAGCAAGGAAGCTTCTCCTTCTTCTTTTTTTGTGTCATGGATGAGTAAACACAATTTTGATGAAAGAAGTACTTTGTTGGAAGCTGCAATGAACCCAGGACCCAGGCACAGTGCTCCATTCATTAAGCCTATGACTTCTTCCTGAGTTTAACACGGTGAGTAAACAATAACAAGCATCATGTGCTGAGTCTCATGAGTGCAAAAACCAATGTGTAGCTATACCCTGCAGTAGCACTGAGCTAGTAATGTTAGCCATGGAGCTGATGCTCCCATTTTATAAGTAAACAACTCAAGGCACGTGGTCATTAGTTGGCCACCCACCCAGTTCTCGCAGCTTGGATGTTAAGGAAGCTTCCCATCTATCACTTTATTTAAGGACCATGCCAGGCTCTGGAGGCTCTCAGCTTAGTGGATGGAAGTTGACCTGCACATAAGCGAGGCAACAAGCAGCTGGGACAGCAGGATGCTGAGAAGTCAGTCAACTTGCTTAAGCCGCTTGACTAGCAGATGTGGAAGTGGGCTCTTTCTGAACCATGTTACTGGGGTAGGGATGATGGAGGGAGAGGCAAGCTTCCCACAAGAAAGGATGCCCCGTGAGAGTTCAGGACTGCTCAGGTGTGCACTGAAATGCAGAGCGATGGTGTTTCACAGTCTACAAATCACTTTTTAAGAGCTCAGAAAGGGAGGGGGAACAAATATTGATAAGCCATGGATACAGGTGAGACTATTCAGTGTGTATTGTATGTCCCTTTAAATTTTCTGTAGATTTGTTTTCAAAATAAGAAAATTGGAGGGGGTTCAGAAAGAAGGAAAGAAGAAGGAAATTCTGGTGATTCACCCTCTAATCAATCCCCTGTGCCCACAGGCTGAAAACCATGAATCTTCCCACTCTCTCTCTACTATCAATGATTTATTTAGTCATTATATCACCAAAATACAGTCTTGGCAAATTAAATGCTGTGAAAAGATTCAACACACTGGCATTTATGGGCAATGACTTTAAATGGACAGATATCCTTAGATTTAGCAAACTATTATTAGCTATGAAGAAGCAATTCTAGTCTTAATAAATTTGGAAAGGAAGTTTACCATCCAGCTAAACTATGACTATCAGTTTAGCTGGCTTAGGAAGTACTCATTTATTTTGAATGAACTGTGAGATTTAAATGTTCAACATTCTTAAGGATTTATTTATTTTTATTTTATGTGTGTGGTTGTTTTGCCTGCATGCATGTATGTGTACTACTTTTGTGCCTAATCCTGGAGAGGCCAGAGGAAGGCATTGGATCTCCTGGAACTGCACTTAACCGACAGTTGTGAGCTACCCTTTGGATGTTGAGACTCAAACCTGGGTCCTCTGGAAGAGCAGCCAGTATTCTTAACCACTGTGCCATCTCTCCAGCCCCACATGCTCAATTTTCTTAGTTGCTATCTCAAAAATTCTTTGTTGGTTGATAACTGGTAATCAGCCTTCCCAATTGTTTAAAGATTAAAAAAAGACAAGGCATGGTGATGTATGTCTTTAATCCCAGAGCTTAGTAGTATCTCTCTGCGTTTCAGGCCAACTTGGTCTACTTAGGGAATTTCAGAACATCCAGAATGAAACCTTGTCTCAAAAAAATAAAATAAATAAAATAAAATAAAGCAAATAATCAGCACAAAAGAATTGAAATTTTACAGAAAACATTAATAGTTGGTGCAGTTTATTATATATTCATTTTAATGTGGGGAAATTTTATTTACTACATCACATGTATTTTAAATTTTTACTTATTATTAGTGTGTAAGTCTATGCTTATTGCTACAATGTGCATGTGGGGGTCTAAGGACAACTTTTATGAATCAGTCTTCATTTAAAATAATTCCAACTTCATGCTTTTCATTGGATTTTTTCTATTCAGCTATTATTTTATTTTTTAATTGCATATTATTTAATGTGTAAGTTTTCCATTGTATTTACAAATTACTACCCCCCCCACACACAGGGTGCTGCTAATGGAGCCTTATGCATGCTAGGCAAATATTTTACCACTGGACTGTATCCTTCGTCTAGTGTTTTCAATATCATTATAGTTTTAGGGAGAATATACATATGAATTTCCATATGTTAAATATAAATAATTTAAAAAGCCTGAGAAGATATATAAGAAATGAAGTAGCTTTATACGGTGAAGAACCTGGGAGGACCGGTGACTAGAAGGTAAAGGGAGTGAGGGAGACTTTCCAGGTCGTTATATATTTGTATGTGTGTGTCTTCACAAATGTTTTCATGTATTTATTGCTTACTTGAAATGTTAAAAAAGTTGCTGTTTTATTCATATCTCAATCTGTTTATAATAAATGTGTGTGGATATATAATTGACTGATCTAACTTGGTTATGTGTTGAAATAATCAGGCTGTTTTATTATTTGTTTCTATTTTTTTATATTTTGTTATTGATATTTTATGACAGAATTTGGAAAGTCATCTAGACTAATCTCCTTTCTTTCTCTTCTTGTATAACAAATTGTCTACGCTCTGCATTGATCCTTTTCATCAGAAGAAGTGAGAATTCTAGGCCAAATGTGATATAGTCTGCAAGGGACACGCCCATCTGCAAACACTTCCTGGGGCCCTTCTATAAGTGTTTTATATATATATATATGTAACATGTAGCTAGGTGGGAGGCTGGGAAGTGTGGTCAGCTTCATTCTGGGCACATTACTCACTACATGTGCAATAACACAATACTGCTGTTTGTATGAGCTGCGGGAGCCCTAGAGTGGCCGGGTTCTTCCCAGGCAGCCATAATCTCTACCCCTTCATCTCATGGTGATGGTGGCCTAACTTGGCCTCCTTTGCTCTGAGAAGAAACAACAGAATCCTAACTTACCCCACAGCAGCCACAGCACTGGCAGTCTCCACAGATGGTTCCCAGGAGGCCATTGATCACCTGGATGGCACAGAGCACCATCTGGATCCCTCCAATGACCAGCAGAATTGAGAAGAGGGTCAGATTCCAGGGGACCACATCCTGGGGCTGTGTGCACTTGCTCCACAAGGCTTGGTCATTAAGATAATCACTGCAGGTGACAGGGACAGAGGTAGGAAGGAGTCATTTGTCAATGTGTGTGATTCCCTAGACTAGAAAGTTGCCATTGCCATTTCTCTTGTGCAGGACAAGCTCTGTGATGAAATACCCTATAATAGCTGTAAAAAGAACCCAAACGTATCTTCCTGGGTACATCTTCCATGCAAGTTACTGTCCTAGACACTTCACATCTTCACTCATTGATTCCTCACAAAAACCCAGGACCCTTTATCTTCCATTCCACAAACAAGGATGCTGAGGCATGGACACGTCACGTGACTTGTCCCAGTCACAAACTACTAAGTGACAGAGTGATTTTTTGTGAGCTGACCAAGAGGACAAATAAGCACACACACATTTATAAAGAAGCAGAAAATGAAGCTGCACCAGGGCAGCAATGCATGCATGTTGATGGCCTTCATCCTAGTTATTTTATTAGAGATCAATTCTGTTGTCACAGATTCTCAAGTGGCCACCCAAAGTCATGTAAAATAGATCATATCACATGACTAAAAGGAAGCCTCTCAGCCAGGTGTGGTGGCTGACATCTGTAATCTCAGCATTTGGTAGGCCGAGGCAGGAGGAATGCCTTGAGTTTGAGGCAAGCCCAAAGTGTGATAGCCTGTTTCAAAACCAACCAAACAAACACCCCTTACAAACCCAAAAAGATGCATCTCAGTCGATAGAGTGCTTGCCTGGAGTGCACGAGGCTCTGAGTTTTATTCACAACACAGCATAAAACAGATGTGGAGGTGCACACCTATAATCCCAGCACTGAGGAGGTAGGGGCATGGGTAGGCAGAAGTTTCTGTCCTGCAAGCTGCTCTCAAGTAACCACACAGAGGCTTAATACTAATTATTAATGCTTGGTCAATAGCTCAGGCCTGTTACTAGCTAACTATTACATTTAGATTAGCCCATATTTCTTATCTAAGTTCTACCACGTGGCTCATGGCTTGTTACCTCATTTTGTACATGTCCTACTTCCTCTGTGTCTGCTCATGACTCCTCTGACCCCACCCTTCTTCTTCCCCATGTTCTCTGTTTGGCTCTCCCCCTACCCTTATCCTGTCCAGCTATTGGCCAGTCAGCTGCTTTATTAAACCAATCACAGTGACACATATGCACACAGTATAAGGAAATATTCCACAGGCAGGAGGATCAGACATTCAAGTTCATTCTTGACTACAGAGTGAGCTAAAATACATAAGATCCTGTCTCAAAATAACAAAAAACAACTAAACAAATGACAAAAATTAGGGTGCTGGAGAGACTGCTCAGTGGCTGCTCTGGTTCACTGGCTGTCCTCCCAGAGACCCTCGTTCAATTCCTGGCACCTACATGGGATCTTACAACCACGGAACTCCAGTTTCAGGGGATCTGAGGCCCACTCCAGCTTCCTCAGGCACCAGGCACACAAGGCACAGATGCGCACACACAGGGAAAATACCCATACACATAAAACAAAAACAAAATTTGAGAATAAATAGGGATTTAAAAGACAGCTCCACCATTAAGAGTTTGTACTGGTCTTGTAGAGGATCCTAACCACCTATAAACTCTAGCTACAGGGGATCTAATGCCTTCTTCTGGTCCACCTGAAAGCTCTAGAACAAAAAGAAGCAAGCATACCCAAGAGGATCAGACAGCAGGAAATAATCAAACTGAGGGCTGAAATCATTAAAAATAGAAACAAAAAGAATGAAACAAAGAGTTGGTTCTTTGAAAAAAATCAACAAAACAGACAAATCCTTATCCAAACTAACTGAAAGGCAGAGAAAGAATGTCCAATTTAATAAAATCAGAAAGCAAAAGGGGGACATAACAACAGACATTGAGGAAAACCAAAGAATCATAAGGTCATATTTCAAAAACCTGTACTCCAAAAAAATTGGAAAATCTAAGAGAAATGAATTATTTTCTTGATAGATATCACTTACCAAAGTTACATCAAGATCAGATAAACAATTTAAATAGATCTATAACCCCTAAGGAAATAGAAGCAGTCATTAAAATCTCCCAACCAGAAACAACCCAGGGCCAAAGGGTTTTAGTGCAGAATTCTATCAGTCTTTCAAAGAAGACCTAATACCAATACTCCTCAAATTATTCCACAAAATAAAAACAGAGGGAACATTGCCAAATTCATTCTATGAGGCCATAGTCACTCTGAAACCTAAACCACACAAAGATTCAACAAAGAGAATTACAGACCAATTCCCCTCATGAACATTAATGCAAAAAAAAAAAAAACCTTAATAAAATACTTGCAAACCAAATCCAAGAACACATCAAAAAGATCATCCACCACTATCATGTAGGCTTCATCCCAGAGATGCAGGGATGGTACAACATATGGAAATCAGTCAATGTAATCCACCATATAAACAAACTGAAAGAAAAAAACACATGATCATCTCATTAGATGCTGAAAGAGCCTTTGACAAAATCCAGCACCCCTTCATGATAAAGGTCTTGGAGAGATCAGGGATACAAGAGACATATTTAAACACAATAAAGGCAATTTACAGCAAGCCTATAGCCAACCACAAATTAAGTGGAAACTCAAAGCAATTCCACTAAAATCAGAAACAAGACAAGGTTGTCTGCTATCTCCGTATCTATTCAATATAGTATGCTAACTGCTAGCTAGAACAATAAGACAACTAAAGGAGATCAAGGGGATACAAATTGGAAAGGAAGAAGTCAAAGTTTCTCTATTTGCAGATGATACGATAATACACATAAGCAACCCCAAAAATTCTACCAGGGAACTACATTTGATAAACATCTTTAGTCAAGTGGCAGGAAACAAGATTAACTAAAAAAAAAATTAGTAGTCTTTCTATATACAAATGATAAATGGGCTGAGAAATAAATCAGAGAAACAATACCCTCTACAATAGCCACAAATAATATAAAATATCTTGATGTAACTCTAACCAAGCAAGTGAAAGACTTGTATGACAAAAACTTAAAGTCTTTGAAGAAATAAATTGGAGACAAGATCAGAAGATGGAAAGATCTCTTATGCTCATGGATTGGTAGGATTAATACAGTAAAAATGGCTATTTCACCAAAAGCAATCTACATATTCAATGCAATCCCTATCAAAATCCCAGCACAATTATTTACAGACCTCGAAAGAACAATACCCAACTTTGTATGGAAAAACAAAAACCCAGGATAGCTAAAAAAATCCTGTCCAATAAAATAATTTCTAGAGGCATCTCCATCCCTGATTTCAAGCTGTACTACAGAGCTACAGTAACAAAAACATCATGGTATTGGCATAAAAACAAACAGGTGGACCAATGGGATCAAACTGAAGACCCAGACATAAATTCACACACCTATGGACACCTGTTTTTTGACAAAGTAGCTAAAATTATACAATGGAAAAAAAGAAAGTATCTTCAACAAATGGTGCTGGTTTAATTGGATGTCAGCAAGTAGAAGAATGTAAATAGATCCTGATCTATCACCCCACACAAAACTCAAATCCAAGTAGATCAAAGACCTTAACATAAAACTAGATACACCAAACCTGATAGAAGGGAAAGTGGGAAATAACCTCGAACACACTGGCACAGGAGACAACTTCCTGAACAGAGTATCAATAGCACAGGCACTAAGATGGACAATTAATAAATGGGACCTCATGAAACCAAAAGGCTTCTGTAAGGCAAAGGACACCATCAATAAGACAAAACAGCAGTCCATAGAATGGGAAAAGATCTTTACCAACCCCACATCTGACATAAGGGTGATGTCCGAAATATAGAAAGAATTCAAGAAACTAGGCATCAAAAAACCAAATAATCTGATTAAAAATGAGATATAGATCTAAATAGAGAATTCTCAGTAGGGGAACCTCAAATGGCCAAGAAACACTTAAAGAAATGTTCAACATCCTTAGCCATCAGGGAAATGCAAATCAAAATGAGATTCCATCTTACACCTGTCAGAATGGCTAAGATCAAAAACACAAGTGACAGCTCATGTTTGTGAGGATGTGGAGCAAAGGGAACACTCCCCCACTGCTGGTGGGAGTGCAAACTTGTACAGCCACTTTGGAAACCAATATGGCAGTTTCTCAGAAAATTGGGAATTGATTTACCTCAAGACCCAGCTATACCACTCTTGGGCATAAACCTAAAGGATGCTCCATCATACCATAAGGATGCCTGCTCAACGATGTTCATAGCAGTGTTATTCCTAATTGCCAGATACTGGAAACACTCTAGATGTTTCTCAACCAAAGAATGGATAAAGAAAATCTGGTATATTTTTACAATGGAGTATTACTCAGCTCTTAAAAACAAGGACATTAGGAAATTTTCTGGCAAATAGATGAAACTAAAATCATCCTGAGTGAGGCAACCCAGACCCAGAAAGACGTTCACTCATGTATTAATCCATAAGTGGCTATTAGCTGTAAAGTAAAAGAAAACCATCTTACAATTCACAGACCCGGAGAAGCTAAGTAACAAGGAGGGTTCAAGGTGGGACACTTCATTCTACCTGGGAAGGTGAAACAGAATAGATTTCGTGGGTGGTCTGGGGTGGTGGTGGTGTAGATGGGAACAGGAGGGATCAGGCTGAGGGGGTGGAGGAGGAGAGTACTGAAAGATTACTGGAAAAGGGGGGCATTTTAGGGTGAGGTAGAAACCTAATGCAATGGAAACTCCCAGGAATCTACAAGGGTGACCCCAGCTAAAATTCCTAGCAATAGGGGACACGTAATCTGAACTGGCTATCTCCTGTGACCAGGCAAGACTTTCAGAGGAGGGACTGGGACACCAACCTAGCCACATAACCTTCAACCTACAATTTGTCCTGCCTACAAGATGTGCTGTGGTAAAGGTGGTGCAGAAATTGTGGGAGTGGCCACTGAAGACTGATCCAGCCTGACACTCATGACAGGAGAGGGAGCCCACCCCTGACCCTGCCTGGAGGACCGGGACCCAGAGGTTAGATAGCCCAGTGACCTAGGATAGAACCAAACATGACTGGAAAAAAAAATCAATGTAGGGGGCTGGAGAGATGGCTCAGCGGTTAAGAGCACTAACTGTTCTTCCAGAGGTCCTGAGTTCAATTCCCAGCAACCACATGGTGGCTCACAACCATCTGTAATGAGATCTGGTGCCCTCTTCTGGCCTGCAGGCAGAACACTGTATGCATAATAAATAAATCTTAAAAAAAAATCAATGTAATGATGCCTAACGATATTCTACTGTACTCATAGATTGGTGCCTAGCCCAATGGTCATCAGAAAGGCTTCACCCCGCAACTGATGTAAACAGATGCAGGGACCCACAGCCAAACATGAGGTGGATCTCAGGATATCTTGAGGAAGAGGGGAAGGAATGATTGTAGGAGCCAGAGGGGTCAAGGATACCACAAGAAAACCCACAGAATCAACTACCCTGAGTTAATAGGGACTCAGGGAGACTGAACTGATAATCAGGGAGCCTGCAAGGGACTAACCTAGGCACTCTGCATGTATGTTACAGTTGTGTAGCTTGGTCTTCTTGTGGGTCTCCTAACAGTGGGAACGGGCTGTCTCTAACTCTGTTACCTGCTTTGGGAACCTGTTCCTCACACTGGGTTGCCTTGTTCAGCCTTAATACGAGGGGAGGTGCCTAGTCTTACGGCAGCTTGGTATGCCATGTTTGGTTGATATCCATGAGAGGCCTACCCTTTTTCTGAATAGAAATTCATGAGGAATAGGGGAGCAGGAGGAAGTGTGGGGGAAAACTGGGAGGAGAGGAGGGAGGAGAAACTGTTGTCGGGGATTAAAAAAAAGGTGGTCTATAACTGGAGACAGAACCCAGGTTTAGCACATGCTAGGCACTGTCACTGAGCAACATTCAGCCTCGTTTTGTTCTTCATTTAGAAATGGGATGTTGTTCATGCCTTCACCTTTCATAAGTGCAGAGGGTGCAGTGGCTTGTTGTGCAGATTCGTACTTCTCTGTAAACTGGGTTTGAATAACATTATCAGGCACATTGTAGGCTGGTAAGATTAAGGCTTTTACAGAAGCATATAGCAAGCAACCAATAAACACTAATGTCGTCATTATTTTACTTAGTCTATGGAAAGAGCTTTGGCATTATTGTGGTTTCAGATGAAGCTAGGCTTAAAGCTAGACTTCCTGCTTACTAGGTAGATGTTCCTTACTAAATTAGCTACTTTTCCTTGGCATCAGTGTTGCTATCTGTGACATAATGAGAATTCAGACATAATACACCTCCTTCATAGCACTACATTTCCTTTATGTCAAGCACTCATCTGTCTGTAGTTATTCCTCTCTTCACAGTTTTTTTTTGTTTGTTTATTTTGAGGCAGGGTCTCTCTATGTAGTCCTGGCTATCCTGGAACTGGCTACATAGATGAGGCTGGCCTTGAACTCACGGAGATCCTCCTCCTCTGCATTCTGAGTGCTGGGATTGAAGGCACGAGCCCTCACATCCAGCCTCGTCTTTACCGTTCTTAAATGTAGTGACTACAAAGATTAAAACTGTACAATATTTTGCAGGTACGCTTTTGTAAGAGCTTAAGATGCTAAGGTGGAATAGTTGGCCCATGGTGGCTAGGCTTGTGGGACGCCTGCCTCTCACCACATCCTCAGACTTTAGTCTCTCTGCAGCTCTTAGGTTCAGAGTCAGAGATCCAGTGAGCAGGTACAGTTTGAATGCTGTGTAACCTCTGGAGGAGAGGGTCCTGGATTTTCCGTGGACCTGGCAACTCACCGTGTGTCCACACCTGTGAGGCAAAGGGAGCTGAGAAAGGAGATGGGGACCCCTTGTGAGGCCAAGGCCATGCCACCTCTTCAGGAGAAGCTCAGACTTCTCCTGTGCTCAGGCAGGGATTCTGGAGTCGATGCAGTGGGGAGTAAGAGTGGGTTGGCCCTCCTGTGCTCCAGGCTTCCCGCTCCCTAAGCCCTGCACTCACACGCTGCCACTGTCTGCCCATTTGCTTTTCTTCTCTTTAGGACCATACACCCCCAAGGGAAGAGTACATGTCTCCACAACATTTGTTCCCACACCCAGCACAGGGAGCGTTCAGTGCGTGAGCGGCTGTCATTGAGCCGGTCTTGACTGGCACTGGGGGTCCAGATCTTTCCTGTCACGAGGAGGTGTTGCCTGACATACATTGCCTGCATAGAGGTAACCTTCGGTAAGTACTCACTAAGGGAACGAACATACCTATTCTGGAGATTAGGAAGTTGAAGCTAATAAATGGAGGTGTGTGGATTTGATTTAGGTTGGCAAAATTCCTAAGCTAGTTCTTTTACCATTACACAAAGCTATATTTGAGAAGTTATAGAAATATGATTATTTATGAAACTCACAGGAATTGTGGAAGTGATTTAAGCCTATTATGCTACTATATTCTCACTGGAGCCTATGGGGTAGACTCAGTTGTCACCTCAGTTTCACAGAAGACATGAGAGATATGTGGCAATAATCTTGATTATGATGCAGTAGTCTTAATTAAGATTCCAGGAAGAATATTTAATTGTATTTGGTTCTGGATCCAGCCACCATGTGGAGGTCTGTGCCCTATACTCAGCTCTTGCATAGAGCAGAAGAGAAGCAATAAAAGTGTCCTGTGTGGGTACCTCTCCCCTGCAACTGAACATTTGCATCCAATGCTCTTCCCCCTGCATCCTCCTCAGTGACTAAGGCCAAAGCTTTAGGGTGGCCCAGAGTCTCAGACAGGAAGAGTTGGGTGAAAGAAAGTTCTACTCAAAGGAACGCGAAGCAGAACTGTTTCCTAGCAGTTCTCTTTCTCCTAGGATACTTCTCTAGTTCCTGAGAAACTGTGAATTTTACGTTCCAAGCTGGGATCGCAGAGGCCACCTTGGGAACACTTGCCACTTCCCCTAACTCCTAATCCTGGGGAATTTCTTCTTGTACGGTGAACAGAGATGGTAGAATTCCAAAATCTCGTCCCTTCCAATAAGATTGACTCTATGCTGTTTCATTCTGAAACTATCACCTGACCCTGTTGGGAGATGACTTATCACTTTGAGAAACAGATAGAGTGACATCAGATGAGAGCACACATAAGAGTAACCGGCCAGAAGCAGCTGGGAGGGGAATGGTGGAGAACAGGCCTTCTTCGAAGCACGGGTACACAGCACTCTGAACCATGGTTTCCTGTTTTTACCTCAGTCGACATTTCTGGTGTTATCTACAGGGGCAATGGTCACTCTTCTGACCTTGTCATTGATTCCATTCCATCCCAAGCAGGGCATGAGTTTACCTATTCTAGGGGAGTGTGAGCAGTCTTTCTCGTCAGAACCTCTGGGCTACTGTATTACTTTGGAGTGGTGCTTTGCCCCATTGTGCTTCCTTCTCTGCCCTTTGTCTTTGAAGGCTGATTGACATTAAGTGCATGGAGGGCAATGTTATTCACGCAGCAGCAGAACACAACAGGAAACTATGGTTGACACTACAAGACAGTATGGAAGTAATAGCAGAAGGGTCCTTCAGAAAGACATAACCCACTGCTTTCCTGACACCTACTAGAGGAGAGACTGAGTGACTGACAAAACACCTCAAGAGAAGGCTCAGTGTGCTGATGTCTGAATTCTATGTTCCTCAATCCAGCCCTATGGTGTTGGCGTCTCAACAGTTCACTGCAAGGTATGAGGGTTTTCCATAGTAAAAAACAAACAAACAAACAAACAAACAAAAACATCTTGGAGTCACTGCATATGATGTGCAGATGATAGATCTGTGCTTGTTTAGTTGTGAGAATAGGATTGGGGTACTTGCTGCCTGTAAACAGACCAAGACCATCAGGTCAGAGTCAGTGTCTCCCACCTCCCCAATCTGAAGACAGTTCTCGAAGTTTCTAAGGATCTTATTGTAAATGAGCAAACAGTTGAAGTTAATTCAGTCATCCCTCTGCATGTTCAGGTACCACATATGTAAAGTTGATCATAAATAACTGATAAAATTGCATCCATAATGAACATGTCATTGTTCTCCAAGCAAAATGGTGTATCAGCTGTTTGCATAGCATTTACATTGCATCAAGTATTATAAACAATACGCAAATACTGTTACAAGTCTGTGCAAGGTGCTTGTGCATCAATAACTACAGGTGTCCTGGAGCCTCGGAAGATGTTGAAGAACAGCTGATTATTGGTATACTACATAGTTATTTTTAATGGTCCCATTCTCTATGTGCTAGAAGATCCAGCAGCCATATTTCTTGACCCCCAAAGATGTTCAGCCACTGTGCAAAATAGAGGGTCTGAGACAATGAACAAATGAGAAGCGGTCCAAGCTTCTCAGAGGACAGGGTGTCATTATCTAACAGAACATCTGCCACAATAGAAATGTTCTATAGTTTTGCTATTCAGCACAGTAGCTACAAGCCACAAGCACCTAGTGAGTACTTGAAATATGACTTGTGTAATTGTGGAATTTAATTAAATATTGTAGAATTCATGTATTCTGCTGAGACTGTCACCACGGTATTCTATGTGGCAGGAAGATTCTGCTTATGCTACTGAAGACTAGGAATTTAGATGTTCTACACTCTGGTCCCAGGCACACCCTTTGAAGGCAAAAATATTAAATACAATCTGCTAGTGTTTGGTTGTGAGCTGAGACACAGCAAATTTTCTCTGAAAGCTAAGGTGGACTCTTCCAGTTATTTCTCTTGTGTTTGTCAAAAGGACAATCAGAGGTGAGGTCTATACAAGTTCTCTTAAATTCAGAGTCATCTTTGCTTTGAGGGGCAACATGTTGAGAGTACATAGCGAAGGGGCCATGACATCGTGTTCATTGTACAGGGGAGGCTTACCCATTGTGGAAGGGGTATCCCCATGTGCTGTTGCTCATGAGGCATTTAGGACCCCTGTTGATGGAAACAGCTGAGACGATAAATGAGTATCCAGCACCCAAGAATCCAATCACAGCAAACAGTGTGGAGGTGAACATCTGAAAGGGAGAGGAGACACCAAAGTTCTTAGGCTGTGCAGAGATTGCTTCTGCTTGGTTACACTGCTCAGCAAACCTGCCCAGCCTGATACTAAACATGATGACCATAGGGTAGGAGTCATTTGTGATTACAGGTGGACTTATAGCTCTCTCAGATGAAACTTTGTGTCATGTTCCCTTTATTACTCCACTCCCATCTTTTCACTTATTGAGGAATGCAACAATGTCTGTACCTCCAGATCAATGTGTATATATATATATATATATATACACACACACACACATATATATGTATATATATAAAATATACAGCACATATATCATATTTATATATAATATATTATATCACATATATATCATATTCATATATATGAGAATAAAATCTACAGGACCAATATGTAAGACCAAGCTGTTACAGGAGAAAAGCATCTTGGGATTAGTAGTAAAGTTAAAATTTTTCTGGTCAAATGTCCTATGTGGCACATAGATCTTGCTTATGTTGCTGAAGACTAGGAGTCTAGAGGGTCTCCACTCTGGTCCTAGGTACACTCCCTGAGGACAAAAAGATGCGATACCATCTTCCTTCTATATAATGGCGGCTCTTAAAATATCTGAAGGCCGCCTTGACAGTGCTTCACCTGTTGACAGTTTTCTCTTCTATGTTAAGCAACCTCAACAACTCCAGTTCAAGATATTTTTACATAAAAGAGATTAATTAGTAGTATAGATAGGGTAAGATGGTTTTGCAGTAATAATACCAAAATTGAATTTTAGAATGCAAATGACAGAAGCAATCCTGGAGGCCATTCAGGCTAATTCCTGTTTAAGGATAAAATGTTTAGGATTAAAGATTTGTAGAACTTCGTCAGTCTCCATTCTAAATAGTAATTAGGAATAGCATGGGTGTAGTGGGTCACACCTTTAATCTCCGCACTCAGAGGCAGAGGCAAGCAGGACTTTGTGAGTTCAAGACCAGCCTGCTCTATGTTATAAGTTGCAGGATATCCGGAGCTATACAGTGAGGCCCTCTTTCAAAATAAAGGGAACTATGTGTGTCCAAACAGACATGAAGGAGATTTTAATCTGTTAGTGGCACATAGTATATATAGTAACAAAACCACTAATATCAAAGAAACATGAATATGTTTAAAAATAAGTGATTGGGATAAACATTCCAGCTTAAAAGATGTCAAATTTGTTTTCTACTCCACACTGTGTATATAAACGTGTTAACTGTGTGTATACAAGTACATGCTTGTGCATTAATGTTGGTAGATGGTTTTTGTTGGAAGCTTTGTTCTGGTTGTTTCCTTTTGGGAAAATAAGACAATTCTGTACTTCCTTTTTTCTTAAGGTATTTATGGTCTTACTGAATCTGTGAGTTTGGTTCTGTGAACCCCTGTGAGATCCTCTGGGGTGTATGGGAGCTTACCTAACCGGCTTCTTGTCTACCTTTGTGGCTTCTCCATGCCACCTCCAACAAAATCGCTGTTCTGTCTCACACTGCTAGGTTATTTAACTCTAGGAATGGAGAGAATGTTCAGCATGGCAAGTGAAATCTTAAATTCAGGGCAGTTTTTTTCTTATACTGTCTCATCTTCTTTTAGACAAAGATGTAGGACGGTCTGGAAAAACTTGCTGACATGTGCTAGATAGCATTCTCTTTGAGATAGACTGGATTCTCTCCCAGAAAAATAGATTCTATGTTAAAGGGTCCCTCACATCTTCAAACTAGCTGAGAGCCTTCAGAAGCCATACTTTCTTTTACAAAGATGGCTAAGTATTTTTAGAGTTATATTTTAATAATTTTGAAGACCTCAAATACCACTTGGTGCAACCATCCCAACTCTACCTAATAAAAATGGCTTGACTTGATAAGAGCCTTCTGTGCAGATGTGTAGAATGTTTATCCTTTCAAACGCCCGTGACATGGCTGTTATCATCTATACTTCCCCCACAACAAACTGAGGTAGATAAAAATCAAGACAATAAATATTAAAGTAGTGGAGCTGCTTGCTTCCAAAGCCTAGTCTTAATTTTTTTTCAACAAGGTCTCATGTAGCTTATGATTCTCTTAAGTCTCTAGGTAGGTGAGGATGACCTTGAACTTCCAATCCTCCTGCCTCCACCTCCTAAGTACTGAGCCCATTCATAGTCAAGTCACACATTTAGAAGGTGGCAGAGCTACATTAAGAATCCAAATTTCCTTCCTCCTAGTCCAGTGCCTTCTACCTACTACCCATTCAAATGTGTAACACACCCACACCCTTACATCTCCACACTCCATGGTTACCAATGCGGGACACTGTATTATTTTCAAGTTTTCTTGTGAATGAAATTGATTTTCTCACAGACATAAAACAAAATAAAATTAAAATAGCTTTCTGCTTACTTGATACCACATCTTACTATTCAATGTGTTAGTATAAAAACACTTCTGCTGACATTTCATGCATTGGCTGTTTTAATATTTTTTGAACCCTTTAATATAATGAATTTCCTTTAAAATCCAGGGAATGTTATTTTACATATTTTTGAAAACTGGACACAATGATGCATACCTATAATTCATGATCCTGGAGGTGGAGGCAGGAGGATCAGAAATTCAAAGTCATACTTGGCTACATGTCAAGTTTAAACCAGCCTGGGATACATAAGAACCTGTCTAGAAAAAAAGGTAAAGGTTATTTTGAGAGGGTGTTCAAATATAATTTTCACCTAGACTATAAGAGGATAATGGCAAAGAGTGAGTACAGAGGTAAACACATCCCCATTTAGGGAAATGAGAAGTCAGATTAACAAAAACCATCAACAAGGGGATGGTGCTCCCTTTTATCAAACTGTAACCCTTTGAACTTCTCCTAGACCACCTCTGACTAATACTAATTTCATATATAATGTGAATGTCCTAGCTTAAAGAAAATATAGAAGATATTAACTTTAGCCTTGTACTTTGTTTAATTTTACATATTTAAGATGTTATCATTCCAACATTGTAATTAGAATAAAATATGTGTCTTTTTTGTATCAGTTCTTTGGAATATGGTCATATTTTGCATAGATCAGGCACTCCCCACTTCCTCAGTAGACATATGTGGCTGCTGTGTTGAAAAAACTTCATCTAGGTCATTTGAAATTTTTGGCAGTAAAATGTTTTAAAATTCATGGATCTGGTATTTGCTGACTTCATGGCAATACTTCCTCTCAAGAATGAAGGAAATGTGACACAGAGAGAAATGTAGTCATTCTTAAGTGACTAGATTGGGCTTTATTTTGCTATACAGTGTATCTGAAAAAGAATGGGGCATGGGGTTACACTTTTAGAGGAGAGTGGTGTGTTCTGTTTTTGAGTTCCAGTTTGAAATACCCCACCTTAAAAAGAAATAAAACAAGCACTCTGATTTTCATAATCTTCTAGAACAGACAAATCACATCATGTTGCTCTAATTCATATCACATAGAGAAGTCCTAAAAAGTTACCAAGTTCACTAGTTAGGTACATTATCTTTTTTATTTTTATACAAGGTCTCACTATGTAGACAAGGCTGGCCTAGAACTCACAGAGACCCACCTGCATCTACTTCTCTTTGCTGAGATAAAAGGCTAGTGCCACCACACCCAGCCAGATATGATCTGTCTTAAAACCAGCATAGGTTAAGTCCCATTTATCATAGGTTTTATGATAAAAACTTCTTCCGGGCAGTGGTGGTGCAAGCCTTTGGTCCCAGTACTCGGGAGGCAGAGGCAGGCAGATCTCTGTGAGTTCGAGGCCAGCCTGGTCTACAGAGCAAGAATCAGGAAAGGCACAAAGCTACACAGAGAAACCCTGTCTCGAAAAACCACAAAAAAAACAACCAAAAAACAAAACAAAAAACAAACAAACAAAAAAACAAAAACCAACAACAACAAAAACATGAATAGGCAAAAGATTGGGTACAGCTTCTGAGATGGCGTCTGAGGTGGCACCTCTTGAGAGCAGTACTGCCTGCCAGGTTTGGGAGTCCAGAATGGGAACATCAATCCTAGCTTCTGCCCTGAAGTATGCTTTATCTCCCTGAGAGGAATAAATAGAAAAGAGGAACACTATTGTGTCATGATCGCGGGTATGAGTTACAGGTAGCAGGAGCTGGCTCTAGGTCCTGGTTTCTCCCACATGACCTTGAGAAGTTAATCATTCTGCCTCATTTCCTCTTCTATAAAATGAGGTTCAATAATAATAATTAATGAGTATGAGAACCTGTTCAGTAGTGACTAGTGAGTCCTCTAGAAGAACCAGATATTTCTCAGGGTTAAGGTGAGAGTGAGCTATTAAATAATACCCAGCAAGCCACTCACTGATAAGACACCAGGGATCTTTTGTGCTTATTCTCAGGAAAATTTCTGTGATGCTGCAATACACTCAATACATGAATATTAGTATAAAATAATTTATTATTATTATGCTGTAATATTTTATTGTTGTGCCTTCACCTTCCTTTCTACAAATACAAAATGCAAAAGTCTAGGAAGAAAAACAAAAGTAAATGGATTTCCTCTTAGATGGTTGTTTCAGAAATACATTCTGCGGTCAAATGCTCTACCACTGAGCTGTCCCCCAACAAATACATTCTGCAGTCAAATGCTATACTGCTGAGTTACATCCACAAACACATTCTGCTCACACTGCTAAACATGCATGTACACATTGTATGCTGTAAAAGCTTTTCTTGAAAGAGAGGATAAGAAAGTCCTGTAATCAGATACCTTCTAATTCATGTCCACTTTATGACCTCCCTATCGGGGTCCTGGGTTTCTTCACTTATAAAATGAGGACTTTATTGTGTAGCTCAAAGGGCTTTTGTAAGGATTAAGTCTGAGAAAGTATAAAAATCCCCTCTCACCCCTCCTGGTATTCTTTACTTTATTTGCCCAGCAATTATTTCCCCAGAGTTTATATGTCTTTGACATGGAACACTCACTGGGGTTTCCGCTTCCTTTTTGGTACACTAATCTTTCTCTGATTCTGGTAATGTCTTTCTGAAAGTTAACAAATGTCATTTCCATGATCCAATTTGCAACAGGGCATTTTACTTTTTTGTTTTGTTTTTTCTTTAAATTTTTGAAATGCTGGGGACTAAACCTAGTGGCATATGCATGGTAGGTAAGCATTTTACTACTGAGTGTCATTCCTAGCCAAAGAAGATCATTTTTTGAAGAGTAGATAACAGTGAAAAATGTAGATCCACACTTTAACTTCTTACTTTATGATAACACATTCTTTAAAAGCATTGTGTTTCTTGAGTTTCCTTCAATCGACTGTTGGAAGAATAAAGAGCTAGATATCCAGGATCTGTCTGAAGGGGGCAGTGGTGAGCTGAGCACAGGAAGACACACTGACTCAATTGTTCACAGATTGCCTTATGAGATCAAGATCTTTCTTCAAAAAGTCAACCACATTGCCCTGCCTGGGTGTGGACATCTGGATTCATTACCTGATAATGTTAAGAATGCTGAAATATCTGCCTTGCCCCCAGCTATCTCCTTTATCAATCTACTTTTCATCCCATCATTAAAGACGCTCAACTTTGAGTCAAGTCCAAAGTTTCTAAATGGCCCTTTACTAAAGTGAACGAGTTGATAAAATTAGTGAGTTGTCCCACTGGGCCCTGAGAGGTCAACGTTTTCCAAACATTAAAGAGAGTACAGGGGGCAGTGACCACACAGACAAGCAGTTAGAAGTCGCTGAGACTCTTAGGCATGGGAAGATGAGGGTGTGACCTAAAAACAAACCCAGGTCAGGGCTTCAAAGGCCACTCAGAACAGTACCTGCTCTTACTGTTTTTCCTGGCTCACATTAGCTTAATTTATCTGAGAGAGTTCAGACCTGTGGGCTGGGCTTCTGTCTCCTCCCCTTACAGGGGCCTGCTGGGGGTTAGAGATAAGAGAGAGAGAGAGAGAGAGAGAGAGAGAGAGAGAGAGAGAGAGAGAGAGAGAGAGAGAGAGAGAGAGAGAGAGAGAAGAGGGAGGGAGGGAGGGAGGGAGGGAGGGAGGGAGGGAGGGAGGGAGGGAGGGAGGGAGAAGAGAAGAGAAGAGAAGAGAAGAGAAGAGAAGAGAAGAGAAGAGAAGAGAAGAGAGAAGAGAGAAGAGAGAGACAGACAGAAAGAGAGAGAGAGAGGAAGAGGAGGGAGAGGGATAGGGAGGGAGGGAGACAAAGATAGAGAGACAGAAAGACAGAGATGGGGAGGCAGAGAGACAGAGAGAGACAGACACAGAGAGAGAGACAGAGAGGGAGGAGGGAAGGGGGGAGACAGAGAGAGACAGAGACAGAGAGGACAGAGAGACAGAGACTGCCTAACTCATTTTCTCAAATTTCACAATGCAATTATGATTTAGGTAATTTCAAGGATGTTTATAGGTTACAAATTCACTTTATCTCCACAGCCACCTACCTTCCAATTCTTGCTTTTTATTACTGAAGGACAAGAATGGTGTAAGTTCAGTGAACATTTGGGGAATGTTCTAAAAAAACATAACAGTGCCAGTGGAGGTGGAGGAGACTGCCGCTCTGGCTTCTGCTGTGTTTGCTCATAGATCTTTCTACTGGCAGGGCTTCTCAGAGCTCCACAGACAACTGGGGCGTTGTTTACTTGTAAGGAAATGCCTTAAGTATCTACAAAAATAATTCAGATGGTTACCATCATAGTATTTAAATGATGGTGCAGCTGTGTGTGTGTGTGTGTGTGTGTGTGTGTGTGTGTGTGTGTGTGTGTGTGTGTGTGTTTCTGACAATATGTCTGTTAACTGCCTCACTTGGTGTCCCAGAGCCTCTGAACAGAAGGAGTATAGCTACAAAGCATGGGACTTGGACTATAAACATGGTCTTGGAGGGGGACTGGGACACTACCAGCTTCTAGCAAGCAACCAGTATGGAACCTTAGAGCCATGTCAACATAGGCCATACCAACACAGGACAGGCTATAGTTGTGCTGTGAGGCCAGTGAAACTAGGCTAATTTTTTGTCATTTGAAAAGAAGTAAGACATACAGGTGCATTTTGTGCTCTCAACATTGATTAAAGAACAAACCCATCCAAACCAAGAAACTGGGGTGCTGACTATCCAGCCACGGTGCCCTGGTCTCTAGTAGCTAAGGCTTAAAGCCTTGGCTTCCAGTCTGCACAGCTGGCGGATAGGGTGTGGCCATCCTCAACCCTCTCCAAGGGCAGATCCCAACTGGAGGCCTTAGGAGCCCTGGTAGATGATATATATTGACCAGACCAAATATTTCAGAACAAGTTTGCTCAACTGTGCTGGGAACAACACGAATTTCTTGCTGTATTCTTTACTTCATTTATAGCTAATGAAATTAAAGTTTTGTATATAATACGTTGAACACAGTTTCAGTTCTCACTGTAGTTATAGAGAAACCCTGGAACACACAAACAAGCCTGCGCACCTCTCAGCCTGCACGCCTATTTTTTTAGCAGTCAGTCATCATCTAGTTCTGCCCAGCATCAGAAATGCAAAGACAGACTTCTAAGATACGATTTTTCTTTATTTTCATCCAAATTCCTTAACTACTATTTTTTTCAAACCTTCATCTCCAACTTATCTTTCAAAGTTGACAAATTATAAATGGTCCAATGAAAAAAATGAATTATATAGCACTTCTTTTATAGTTAATCATATGAAAATGTTATCAAGTATATACAACATTTGACACAATTATACTAAATGAATAGTCATTTCTTACACTCTTCATAAATGATGATTTTAAATGCTGAAATGACAATTTTCAGCACTTACGATGATTTTTAGAAGTGATATTTTATGAATGATATGATGTCATACAAAAAACGTCAGTGTATTATGCACAGAGCACAATGGTCTTTTGTGTGTGCTTGGTAAATAAATACCTTCTTTCTTGAATAAATGGACAGATGATGGTGAGAAAGAAATGTCAAGGTGGTTCTGTTTCAGAATGGGCTTTCAAGAATTTAAAGTGGGCTTAGGTGTCTCCTTGATGGGAATGTGAATCCTGGAAACCTGGAGCAGGAGCATCCTTTACTCTTCATCAAGCCCAGGGGCTACCTTCATCATATTTTTCCTCATCATATACCCAAATGTTTAATAGTTTTTAAGCCAAGTGTTTTATTCACTTATATTACTATTTTGAAAGAGAAACTGAAATTGTTAGCAAACATGAACATAGCGTTATTCAATTTTAGTCACCCAATGTTGCTTGTGTTCCTAGAGCCTTGGATTGTTCTTCCTTTGTTAGAAGAGAGGTTTGATGGTTTAGAAACAGAAAAGACTTATCCCCGTCAAAATAAGAGTTTCTTTCCTTTACAGAATGAAAACAACTGGAAGATAAGTGAGAGAAAACATTCTTTGTTGTTTGGACACACATATCTATGTACCAGGGTTTGGTCCATATCTAGGGAATTCTGATCCCATCCAACCCGCTTATCTTATGGTTGGTGACTTGCCCAGTTGCAGAAATGGGACCTGACCTGCATGCCAGCATTCCTTCTGCTCCCCCGGGAACATCTATGCCTCCCTAATCTCCAGTTGACCAACTAAAAGATGAATAGCCGTATGAAGCAGGAGAGGAAGCTGAAATCCTGAGGCAGATTCTGGGTGGCAGTGCAAAATGCTGGGCCTCCAGAAATAGTGCCCTTGGCTGTGGTAAAGAAGGGAGCTTAGGGAACGATTAGGGAGGGGAGATAGCATCTTTTACCCTGCCCCAGGCCTCCTTTAAAGATGAGGCAATTCAGAGCCAGAAGAAAGATACGATTTGTTCAAGTTCTCGAGGCTTCTTAGTGGCAAAGGGAAGCCTGTGGCCCCACCTCTGCCTTTTTTATGTGGTGTCACCTCGGTTCTAAAGCTCTGACATTGCTGGGTAATTGTAAAACGCGATGTCTCTATACCTCTGAGGAGGAAGGTTGTGGAATTTAATATATTTATTCTTATTATTCTGTACCAGTGAGAATCAGAGCTTAATCCTGTACCCGACGTCCCAGGAGTCTTGATTGGGGCTGGTCACTTGTTCGTCACACCCGTGCTGCCCAGCACAAGCCAGCAGTGAACCCCAGAGCGATTCTGGCAACTGACCCCTTGACAACTCACCGCAAATCGCTTCCCGCAGCCCTCATTGCCACAGCATCCACAGCAGTCATTGTTTTTCAGGCCCAGGAACACCAGCGCCGGGAAGATCATCTGTCAGCAAGAGAAGTGCTCAGAGTGTCTGGGGTGGAAGGGAAGCCCAAACTTCTTTCTGGCCAGTGAATGCCTCAGATTTCAGCGGCGTAAGGAGACAGGCAAGACCTAACAGCTCTCATGGCTCACGGGTAGATAGGTAGTTTTGAGTATGGGGCTTCCATTTGGCCTGACTGACCAACTTGTGTGAGGATATTTTAAGAGCGGGCATCTCAAGTTTTCATTTAAAGGGTGGGTTAGGGCAAGGAAAAGAGTCTTGGTGTCATACTACAACCTGGAGCTCCCACCCGTGTTGGAAACAAGGGGTAAAGACACGGTGAGGTCTTGACTGAGAGCTAAGCAACAGCTCCTGCACCTCTGCGTTCTAACTCAGTCCATTTATAGAAAGCACTGTGTTTTGTTCATAATTCTTCTTGGCACTATTTTATTGGAGTAAAGCGATCAAGTGGCTGTTAGCTTGATTCTCTGGGCTCAAATGTCCTATGATGATTCCAGCCCAAGTTTGGGGATGAACCACTTTAATAAACCAAGGTGTCCCCAGCCACTAATAGGAAGGGGAAGCATATTAAGGCACTACTTTTCAGTACGTAAAGGTTGTTGGCTGTGGAATGGCATCCCAGGTACTAAGAACCGAATGGAAAAGGGTGGGAGCAGGGGAATTCTCTTTTATGGGAAGATTAAGGTTTCTCTACTCACCAAGACTCCACTCCCCAGGATTCCTCCGAAGTACCAGACCTCTTCTGAAAGGTGGCTGTTGTCATCTATCACCTTTCCTCCGGGGAAGAACAGCAGGATATTCGCCAGGAGGCCAAACACAGCCAGGGGAATGAGGGTGCCCCCCAGGCACTTGGCACAGCCCCCAGTGCACATGCTGGGGTGGCACAGTATAGCACAGAGATCAAAGGCTTCTCACCACCTGCTTCACGGGTCTCCACAGAGGTTTTGGCAGCGCGTTTCAGTAGCTGTACTAGGTTCAATAAGAAATTTGGGACCAAGTGTCAGAGCTTTTTGAACCGTGTCCTTGGAGTTGATTCACTTCTCAGCTACAGCAGGCCCTCAATGGCGATGGGCATTTATATCCCTGACCTGACGTCTTTTTTTTTTTCACCCCCATAAATGAGATTACGTTCTGTGCAATCGTTCAATTGTTTTGCCATGGTGACCAATAACCTCTGTTAATAATCCACCAGCACAGACAAGACACTCAAGTGGTTGCAACCGAAGAGAAGGCCGGGGCAGGCAGTGTGTAGCACTGTCCCTTTAATATCTCCATGTCCCTGCCCAAATAAAGAAGTATTCCCCCAGGCACCGCATAAATCACTCTCATAATCCACTAACATCCTGATTAATGTTATGTCTCCCAAGCACTGAACGATCTGCCTGGCTCTTCTTTGGTCTTGTTCACAGAAAGCCTGAAACACAGGCTTATCCAGAAGGGCTTGTCTTCCTCAATACAAAAGTAATTGGATGGCCTAATTGAATAATGCTGAATTCAGGCCTGGGCTTTTTTAAAGGATAAGATCGGAACAGCTACTTATTCTATTGCCCGGCTGCTGTATTTCTTTACTTGTTTACTCAACTAGGTAATTAAATTCTGTCTCCTTCCCGACACGCCATGGAATTAACAAAAGCAGTTTTCCTAGTTGGGCTGTTTAGTTACTTTCATACAGGAATAGAAACCCGTGTCTAAAGAGCAAGGCAAGTGAGCTCTAGAGGAAGAAAGATGTGGACAGCAGAGGAGAGGTGACGTGAGTCAACAGCAGTTACAATATGGGGGAGGTAAAACAATCCATACTGGAAGTCTTATTAACTTCCAGGAGCACAATTCAGTTATTAGCTTGCTTTGTGTCACTTGAGATGTCTTAGCCACACTTCGACCAGCTCCACATGATGCATTGACTTTCCCTGGTACTATGTGATAGAGCATTGACTTGTCCTGGTACTGTGTGATGGAGCATTGACTTGTCCTGGTACTGTGTGATGGAGCATTGGCTTGCCCTGGTACTGTGTGATGGAGCATTGACTTGTCCTGGTACTGTGTGATGGAGCATTGACTTGCCCTGGTACTGTATGATGGAGCATTTGAAAGGACCAAGCAGACGCCATAACAGGCTGCTCAGTCTGCTCTCACAGATCAGGCCTCAATTTCAGTTTCCTGAGACTTGAGCAAGCAGTTTCTGGGAGGGCCATGAACAAAAGACGTAGTCCTTGCAGTAGCTCCCTTTCTGCATGTACTTTGACTGTTCAAGGTTCAGCCAATTGCTTACTGTCTGGGACCCCTCACCAACTCACAGCTATGTGTATGAGTCAAGGACAGAGCCTGGGCCACTGAGTCAGTCCCCACAGTCAGAATGTGCTAGGCCAGCCAGCCTCCATGGCAGCTCAAGGACAGAGCCTGGGACTTGTCCAGGCCTGCCCCAAAATGATAACTGTAACCCCCAACCAGTAAATTCAAAGGTTACATACCCTCACCTGATCATATGACACACAGGCTTGTACCACCCTGCTTGTGGTTTTTCCCTTTAAAAATCTCTCACCTGGAGAGCTCAGGGCTGTCTTCCTCCACCCACTGTGTTGGAATGTTGGACACAGACCAAGCCTGGGCTTGCTTGTTATCAGTAAACTCTTGTGTGTTTTGCATGGGATATTAGCTCTGTGGTGGTCTTGCTGGGGGTGTCTCTCGACACCTGCACAACACGTTGACTTGCCCTGGTACTGTGTGATGGAGCATTGACTTGCCCTGATACTGTGTGATGGAGCATTGACTTGTCCTGGTACTGTGTGATGGAGCATTGACTTGTCCTGGTACTGTGTGATGGAGCAGCTGAAGGACTGCAGGAGGGGAATGGGTCTTTCTAGTTCTTCACTGACAGTCTAGGAGTCAAAACTCAGGACAATAAGTCTCTGGGACCACTGGCTAGGGAAGCTGGCTGTGGGAAGGATTGTTGAAGGGTAGATATTGAGGTTCTTTCAGAAGAGTCTAGGAAATGTGCCTTGATTGTTCTGTATATACACTGAGAGAACTCAGGGTCAGTGTGAGATTAAAAAAAACCCAAACAAACATAAAAGGAAAGGTTAACTGAAGATCTGTTAACTCTCAAGTATAGATGAATACTTTTAATGCTCCCTACTACCCAGACTACCATGTTCCATCTAGCTCAAACATGCTTAGGGAATTCTTTAAAGTCATCTCAGTGGAAAAAGATGAACCAATGCTGTGTGTGTGTGTGTGTGTGTGTGTGTGTGTGTGTGTGTGTGTGTGTGTGTGTGCCCATGTAGAAATCAAAGGAGGAAGCAGAGTGTCATGCTCTATCATTCTGAGTCTTATTCCCATACCACAGGCTCTCTCTCTGAATATGAATCTGGAGTTTTCTGGTAGGCCAGTTGTCCAGCAAGTCCCAGAGCTCCATCTGTCTCCAGCAGTCTCAGTCACCCTTAGACCCAGCTCTGGATGATGGATTGATTTGCTTCCCCTACCCCCAACCTCTGAGTGCTGGGGTTATTGGCACCAGTGGTCATGCCAGGATTTTAGTTGGGTGTTGAGAATCTAAACCTAGGTCTTCATGTGTCTACAGCAAGCAGTCCTACCCAGTTTCTAGACTCTTGCTTAAAGGTCTATTGTTTATTCTTTGTCCCAGTGGGATATTAGCAAAGAACGGTTAAGAAGACAGAGCCCTATTCTGTAGCCAGTCCTCTGGGAAGACCTGACTCAGAAATCAGAGGAGATGATAGATTTAGAAGAATGGAAGATACTGAGTGGGGAATTTTTGAAGAAGAAAGGGAAAGAATGGTGAAACAGCAGTATTCTCCTGGGCCTCCCATGACAGGAGTTTTGATGACAGGGTCTTCTGCATCTTGATGTCCAAGGGTTTCCTTCCACTAGATTGAATCCTGAGCCAACAGAACAGGGGGTTCTCTGGCCTCTAGTACTGAAGGAGGTGTGCAAGGTGAAGCTGCTTAACTTGCTAAACCTCACCACACAACACACAGAGAACAGCCCATTCAGTTCAATGGAGGGAAGTCAATCAATATGTATGATGTCCCAGGATATATCCATCTATGTGCCCACATAGTAGCCTGCCCTTGAAAACTAAGACTTGCTTTCTGCCTTGTACACAGTAAAATGCCCATTAGCAGTAAAGCAAGCAATATCTTTGGCTTGCTAGAATTCACTGAGCATATGGGAAAAGATGAGGAGGGATTCCACACATTTGCATTCAGGTTTTGTACATTTTATACATTTCATGTCAGCAACTTTGCTCACCTTCAAAGAGGCTGCTTCCAATAAAACTAATTTCCCAAGGTCCCATGAAGATTCCAGAAAAGTGATAGAAAATATCAGTGAGGGGCTGAGAAGCTGGAGGAGGCAGGTGATCCAGCTTTGCTGAGGGGCTGGCAGGTGTTAGCATGGTTCAGCTGGCAGAGGAGGAGCATCTGGGGTCTAGTCTATGCTCAAGAACTAGGAAGCTGGGAGGTATATGGACCACATCCAAGATAAGATCTAAACCCAGTTAACATCCTGTGGGGACAATCTTCGCTTCTTCTTCCTTCTCTGCTCTATTCACCTCTTCTATCTCATATCTCTCCAGGACTCTTATCAGCCATCACTGCTTTCAAGACACCTTGTTCCCTAAGAATGCAACTCATGCTTGGTATTATTAACTAGGCCCCAAACCCATGGCTGGATATCATAAGCTCTAGGGGATAACCTAATGTTGTTGTTATGCTAAATAGTAGATGTAGTAATAAACTGCTCAAGTTCTTGTTTTTATACCATAGACTAGTGCATCATTTAGCTCGAATCAGAGAATCTTCCTTTGCAGTAGATGACAATTAATAAAGAGACCAACAACTAGTCACCATGCAGAGAGTAAGAGACTGTGAAGTGCTCTGCTCCGAGTGGGAATTCTGTACAGTGTTCAGAGATGATGGGAGAAGAAGCGAGAGGAAAGGCCACAAAGGCAAGAGGGAGTGGTGTGTGCAGTGAAACCGTACTTGCTGGACACGACAGTGTTGTTGCACACAGGAACTCACAGAAGCTGGCACCACGTGCACACAAGGAAGCCATACAAATTTCCAGCACAGATGAGATGGGGTTCACAAAGCCCCTCAGCTAGCTGAGGAGCTATTGGCAAGTGATGGCTGCAGTGGGAGGGAGAACTTGCTTTCTTCTGGGATTTGGCCTCTGAGAGGCTATCCATGCGTCAGTTTATAGTCCTACCCCAATGCACATACAGGGATCACTACGTTGACACTGTTCATTTGTTTGTTTGAATTCTTTCGAGACAGGGTCTTTCTATGTAGCCCTGGCAGCCCTGGAACTTGCTCTCTGTAGACCAGGCTGGCCTCCGACTCACAGAGATCCACTTGCCTCAGCCTCCTGAGCGATGGGATTAATAATGTGCACCACCATGCCTGGCCTGACTATGTGTTTTGTTTTGTTTTTCTAAAGAGCACATAAAATTGGGAGGGAAAAGCAGCTGGGCATGGAAGGTGGGGTGGGATTAGGAGAGGGATTGGAGAGGGGGAAATGAGAGGTAGATTTGATCAAAACATATATGCATGTACGACATTCTTAAACAATAAAAAGAAAATCTTTCCATAGTTGATTGGTTGGGGGAACTCAATAAAGCAAAGCCAGAGCTCTGCATGGCAGAATAGTTTAGGGTTTTAGCTTAGTTTGGAAATGTAGTATCCAGTGCCATCCAGACTTTAATGCCCATCGAACACTTCTGTTACAGCCCAGCTCTTCTGATCAGAATTTCTCAGCACACTATTTAGAAAACTTGGAGTTTGCTTATTTCCCAAAGGCTCATGTTATAGTCTGTGCTGGCAGAGAGAAGGAAATTTAACATGATAAAGGTTGAGATGGGTGGAGTATGATTTGTAGAGTATGAGGGGCTGGATGTATAAGTAGGGTGGGAACTGGGAGCAGGGGTTGGAACCGTCTTGCTTCCTCTGACCAGAAGAGTAATAAACCAGCTATTCTTCAAGTGGAACAA